ATATATATATATATATATATATATGCCGCAAGCCGTGGTCTGTTGGTCGGGCTCTCATCATGGGGCCTAGCGCATGAGAAATCGGTATTTGGGCCTCTGCCAAATACCAATTTTCTTTTAATTACTAAAGCTTTACTATGGAATTTATAACAATAAGACAACTCATATATGTTTCCGTGTACAACCAGGTAGCATGTATGTATCGGTAAAGTGATGGTAATGATATTATGAATTTACATTGGCAAGGTAGAAATGAAGATGGAGAACTTAATTTATGATATCGGTAAAGTATTGCAGACCCAAGCGAGCTGACATGAAGGCGAAGAGAGTGTTTTAGGTTTTGAGGGATGCAATCATAAGACTTCCCTACAAAATTTCAAAAATTACTTTTAAAGAATGGATGAGATGTTGATTTTTTTTCTTTTTGTTATCCCATTTCTTGTGTGGTTTCAACATTAAAAAAATTCATGAATGATGGCATTTTCATGGAGAAAAGTGGATAATGCTTTACTAAATTTTTCATTTTTATTTTTAATCCTAGTATATTTGATGTTGATGCCAAATTGTGTAAGGTTCATTTTATAGAATATGGAGAGGATTCCACTCACATCGAACTTATTTTTCATGAGGAAAAATTAATATTTGTGTGAGCAATTTTTATGAAAGTAAAAGACCATTCGTCTCCATTAACATTAGAGATACAAGATCATCTTCATATATTGGTTTTGATTAGGGACAATTGGCATTGAGGTTTGAGTGGCTAGATGGATAATGGACATTATGGTGTTTTGCCTTTTGACTTATCTCATTCTGGTACTCTTAAAAGTTTATTTATTAAAAAAAGGCAAGAAACATTGATTGTAGTGCACTAAAAGATGGATGTCTCCTTGTTATATATGATTGTGCCAAATTTGTTCCCATGTTTTTCAAAGTTTTAAATAGATGAGACCGAGAAAGATGATATTGCTATTTGTGTCCATATAATATAGTCTTCATTCCTTAGCATGCCCAATCCTCTTTCTCATGGTTGGATCTTGACATATATAATGAGTGGGATAAAATACTAGAATTTATTTTAGGTTTGATGTTTGTTTTTAAATAATACTAGGTTTATGGATAATTTTTTGTGTGCAGCATATGATAATGAAAGGAAAGGTGTGATCTTTCTGATAATAGCAGCTAGGGTTCCACTAAATGCATTTACTCATAATTTTTTAAGGAGTGTATATAGAAATAGAGTTTTATTGGAGAGTTGGTCATGTGGTATGTGCTTCTGAGTCTGGAGCCTTGTTTTGTTTGAATTTGTTCACATGCACATGACAGGTATGAAGTGGATTACTTATTATTGAACCTGTATCCATTGGTTTATAAAGTGCTATCAAGAAGGTGCAATGTTTCTCAATTTCTTCTTGCTTTAGTCATTTTATGCTTGCATGTTTTTTTTCTTAAATAGAAGTTGTACACGGGTTGATGCTGTTTGGATTGTTTTGGCATGGAGGCTTATTTTTGCTATGTGGATACTTTCCTTTTGAGTATTTAGCATGTTATATGCCCCATTTTTTATAATAAATTGAAAACTTACTTCTTGATTATCGGAGCTTGGTGGGCCCAATTTTAGTTTATATGGCTTGATTAGCACTCCTAATAATGGGAGATGTTTTTAACCTAACGTCATGCCTTCTTCACTTTTAATAATAGAAAAGCTTCGTTTAGATTGTGAAGGGAATATTTTTCAAGTATTTGGATGTGTACTTGGGTTATATTTAACATCTAATTAACCTTGAATTTCATAACTTCTTTCTATTTCTATAAATTTTTGTGGGATTGCAACATCTTCATTGCATTTCTTTTTGATAGTTTAGTAGTAATATAGTTTGAGCCATAAATTTTGTAATTTTATTTAATTTTTCATGACGAAAAATGTACCTTTTTGGTATGAATTTTTATCTTAGTTTCATAGATTAATGTGATATCACACATCTTGAAATATATTTGCTTCACTACACTACATCCCATATATTGTTGTTTATAGTTAGGAAAAGGTTGGTTGTGCTGACTCTTGGTATCATATAATTCTATATCATGAAATAGTTGAGGGTTCTTTTATATGCAATGTGACAAAATCAAGACGTCTTTACTCTGTATGGGGCCTTTAAGGTCGCCTAATTTTCCTTGGAGGACTATTTTTACAGTTTGCACTAAACACGGTAATTTTAACCATTTGGTTGTTTTGTGACTTGTCATATAGAAGACATTTAAAAGGTGGAAAAAAGAAGTATTAATTGATGTTTGGAATTTAGACAAATCCATAGGTGTTGAGAGTAAATGGCTTGGTGCTTACTATAGTGAGGATAATAACAGAAGTTGGGTTTTTCAAGCTGAGTTCTATTTCACTATTGCTGTTTTGATGTAATTAAATGCTGTTGATGCAGAGAAGGTGTTCAGTTTATGTTTGATTGTGTTTCTGGGCTATATAGCGCTGAAGGTATTTCTGGATGCATTCTTGCTGATGACATGGGGTAAAAGGGAAACTTTAACTCTTTTCAGTCACAATATTGTTTTTCTCTTTTGCATATCTTCTTGAATTTATGCATCAAAGCTTTGCAGGCTGGGTAAGACTCTCCAATCTATTACACTGCTTTACACCCTTCTTCGTCAGGGCTTTGATGGAAAACCCATGGTTAAGAGAGCTCTCATTGTTACTCCCACAAGTCTTGTCAGTAACTGGGAGTCTGAAATTGATAAGTGGATTGGAAGAAAAATCCAATTACTTTCTCTTTGTGAAACCTCTAGGGCTGATGTTTTATCTGGAATCGACAGTTTCTTAAGGCCTACCAGCACCTTACAGGTTAGTTTTCCTGTAAGATTATTGTTGTATTTTATCTGAATTTGGCTGTGTCACTCTTTTGAATGCAAGAATAGCAGCTTTTAGAATTTTAATATGTTGGCCTTTTTGATTTAAATGATGATACTTGCTCTCTTTCAGGTACTGATCTTGTCCTATGAGACATTTAGAATGCATTCATCAAAATTTGAGAAGAATGGAAGCTGTGATCTGCTAATATGCGACGAGGCTCACAGATTGAAAAATGACCAGACATTAACAAATCGGGTATGTGCTTAACCATTTTGGTAAGGTGGGGGAGAGCTGAATGTTGCTGGCCACTTAATTTTTATTTGAATACGAATTAGAACTTTAGATTTTTTGCTCAGATTTATGCTTAAAAATTCCTTACACAAGGAAACCAGCTATGTTTAGTTAATGCTAATTTATGTTGTTAGACATAATAGATGTATATGATTATTAGATACACCAATCATGATAATTCTCTGCCAGGCTTTGGCCACTCTACCATGTACTCGGAGAATCTTATTATCAGGGACACCCATGCAGGTAGGAATGTTTCCAGTTTCTTCACTCTTTTTAACAATAACAGTTTATATAAAGTTCTATTTTGCAGAATGATCTAGAAGAATTCTTTGCTATGGTCAATTTCACAAATCCTGGTATTTTGGGGGATGCAACATACTTTCGTCGCTGCTATGAAGTAAGTGAAATTCTTGTATTGTGGAACTCCGTGGTGCATTTTGTATTGTGACATGCTCTCATTTTCTCATTATGTAGGTACCCTTCCACATTGTCAATATCCCATTCAATAATATCACATTTTATTTATTTTAGCATTGAGTCAAAGGTCTAGGAGGCAAATCTGCATGAAGGTCTCAGTTCAAATGCATGTATAATTCAACATGTAGTCTTTTTTCAGCATATACTTATAAATTCTAAAATTCTATGAGGTCCTCAACTTTAATCTTCAAGTATTCTTCATGTTATTGTAGCTTACATGAAATTGGAGTGGAATCGTGCGAGGGAGATAGCATTCATTATTATCATAGCATAAATGTCCATCTCATTATTTGCGCTTAAAAAATATTTCCCTCAAAGAACTAGGACCATCTAATTATTCTACAGAGTTATATGAAAACCACAAAACAAATAAAATAAGAACTCAAGTTTTTTCACTTATCATTCATAAATTGCTAATTTAAAAAGAACCACAATATCTCACATCTATAATTAAATCATTATTATTCTTACAAAAAAGTACATATTACAGACTACTTTTAACATTCTTCATTGCCATTTTCATTTAAGCAACTTCTTTCCTTCATCTAAAATGATTAACTACTATAGATTCAACAAGGGTAAGCATAAAGTCTAGTAAGCTCTTCAAACTCTTATTAAATAATTTATTATATTGAAAGGAATATAATATGCATGCTTAAGTTCATAGTAAAAGATAATAAAATTTTCCTATCATTTCAATCAATTTATGTAAAACAACGACAATACATTTTTATCCCACTATGTGGGGTAGGGTACACGAATTCTTTTTCTCCATTTTTTCCTATTAAGTCTCATATTTTCATTTAATTCTAATAAATCAATATCATTTTTAATACCCCTAGTATTTTTAGTTCTACCTCACTATTTCTTAACAGAAGCCAAATCTAAAACATCTAGTCTCCTAATAGAGTCATTAGATGGCCGACATTTATTGTAACCAAACCATATAAGATGATTCTCTCTAATCTTGTCAGCCACTGGAGCTACTACAACTCTTTCATGTATATATTTGTTTTGCATTTTATTTCTTAGTGTAAAACCATTCACGCATTCTTATCTCAACAACAGTTGAACTTAATTTATGCTTCACTTTTACAGGCGAACATTTTGCGCCCTAAAGCATTTCATATCTCACTACCATCTTATAAAATTCTCCTTCAAGTCTTTAAACGACACTTTTCTATCACACAATAGGTTCTATGCATTCCTCTACTTCAACCATCCAACTTAAATTTTATTAATATCTTCCTCATCTATATCACCATCACTCTGAACAATAGACCCAATATATATAAAGCACTCACTTCTTTTAAAGATTTGATCACCCATTGTTACAAGCTATTGTAATATTGCTTGGGAAGAATTTTGAGATCCATTTGATATGCAATTACTTGATATTTGTATCTGACCTATGCAGGTGTTGCGAAGTGAGTGATTATTTAGGAGTAGGCTTGATTTAAGTAATTAGCAAATAATAATGCTTGTAACACGCTGAATGTGAGCTAGATGTGTTTGAAAAGTGGTTCCAACTTGCATAGAATTAGGATAAGCTTTGTGACGGTTGTAGTTTCAGTAAAGTAAAACTACAAAAACTTCTTTGAGAATTTTGCATTGTTTTGGGGATAGCGGAATAATGGTGATGTGTGGAACTTGTGAATACAGCTTGTGGATGTTCACATGTGGATCTGAGTGAGCCAAAATTTTTGTGAGCTACGAGTGTTCATGCATTTGTAGGATGGTGTTAGTGTTGCAGTGCGGGGCAATGAATTACTACACGTGTTGGTTTATGGGCATGAATGGTTTTTTATTATGATTTGTTGTTCATCTGCATTTTGATAAGAAGTTTAAAGGTGAAGGTGGATCATAAGGATGAAGATATCGACCGGGTTAGCGATTAAGATGACTGGCTTCTTATTTTATAGATGTTGGATATGCTATATCGAATCTATGGTCTTGTGGTGCAACAACAAGAGAAGCATCTCAATTAATGTGTGATGAAGTCGATATAGGAAAACAGCTTTAGAAGCATAGGCATGCTTTTAGAATGCGGGGCCATGGCAGATGTAGAGGAGGTAGATTAGGGAGTCAAGGATGTGGAGATCAGAGGCGATTGATTAATAGTTAAGGTGGTATTGTAGACAGTGGAGGAGACTAGGGTATGCATTTTGCAACTTCTACTTATTTGATGTTGACATCAAGATTGATGAGGTATTTCATGGCAATGGATGCGTATGCAGGGTTTTTCACGTGAAGAGGGAGATGCTAGTAGAATTGAGGGTCTTTAAGTGGCATGTAGAGATGAATGGAAACGTTGCTTTGATGCGAGTTGATAGTGGAGGAGAAATATCTTTTGGCTTTGCTGTAGAATTTTGAACAACAACAATACAAAAATAATGATGGTTATTGTAAATTTATCTATTTTTGATATTTTGTTGTTTAAAAGGGGAAGAATCTGACGTAGAGTGAGAATTATGAGATAAATAGATGATTAGACAGATTAGAAGAATATACAGCCCACAGAAAGTTTGACAGGTGGTAGAGTAATAAATCAAGGAAAATGAAAGAGGCAGACAAAAGAAAGGATCTATTATTATTATTCTATTATCTTCTCTGTCTTTATTACTAGACCGTGCACCATTTTTAGAATTAACAAATAAGCCTTATTGAAACTGCCAAAATGACTATTGAATAAATTAAAAAATGTCATGTCAGATCAAAAAAATAGAAGGCATTTAAATTACTAGTAACTAACGTAAATGTAAATAATATTGAGCTCATGACACTAAAATCATACAGTTTTCTCTATGATGTAAAGGCACTCGCTCTGCTTCATCATGTTTTTCACAAGTGCATTTTGAAATTTTATAATGCCAATACTGTACAGTCTCAGTGGAAACATATTCAATTTAACTACCTTGGTTCTGCTATTCTGTTTTGTCATGCAAATGCTAGAATCAATCCTTCAAGTTTTGATAAGCTATCTTTGGATGTAATAATTGGCATAAAACTAGATGCTGCCTATGTGGATGTCTAGGCCTTTTGTTCTGAGTGTGCTAATGCAATAAATATAAAGAAGTATAATTTGTTTATTCCGGAATACTTATTGAACACATTATCCTCATTTAAATTGAAAACATATGGTGATTAACATCCTCACAAATTTAACTAATCAGTACAGGTTATTTTAACTATTATTTTTTAATCGCACTAATGCAGCATAACATTTTCTTGTATGATATTATTAGATTAATAAATCAATAAATTTAGTAGGTTTCTATGCATAAAAGCCATTAAATTGATTTATTTCAGGTAGTATAAGCTTGTGAACTTCTTGAATTTCAGTTAATTATTTATTGCAAGTTATGCAGCTTTCTTTAGTACACTCATCATGTTTATAATCTGAACCAAGGCACCAATCATTACTGGTAGAGAGCCAGTGGCCACCATGGAGGAAAGGAAGTTGGGTTTGGAGAGATCTGCAGAACTTAGTGCAAAAGTAAATCAGGTACCTATCTCCTATGGGATTGTCTGGTATATGTTTCATTCAGTGCAAACTTTTATGTAGATTATGCTATAACTGGGCAATCGATTTAGTTTACTCCCTTATTTTATCATTATATTAATTTTGCATGTGTAAAGTACTTGAGTACCTTAGATTGTGCAGCTCTTTCAGTACCTGTTGTTTTGCAAATAAAATAAATTTATTCTAAGATTTTGTCGTGGTCCGTTTCTGAACTGTGTTGGTGTTGTGCAGTTTATATTGAGAAGGACAAATGCTTTGCTGTCAAATCACTTACCACCTAAGGTATGTGATAGAACTTCTAAACATGTGCACTTGTTAAATGCTAATATCTGATATTGTAACCTACGTGTTGTGCTGGATGTATCCCATGCCATGAGTTGATGTATAATGTCTTATATATGAAATTCTAGTGAGTTTCAAGATCCAACTCCCTAAGGGCCTGTTTGGGATCATTTTTTGTTTTTTGTTTTTATTTTTATTTTTAGCAATTTTGTTTTTGTTTTATTTTTGTTTCCTATTGTTATGATTTATATGTTTTTAAAAATAAAAAGCATAAAACATGTTTAGTTGTATATTTTTAATTTTTTTTTAAAGATAACTATTTTTTTATTAAATGGTTGGGCCCACGTGACACTCCAGTATTAAGCTCCGCTGCCCATTGCGTACACAACATCTTTCTTTGCTCCACCCAGCACGAATCATTACCTGTGCAGGTGGCGGTGGGTGGGAGGCAAGAGCGGGCCGTGAAGCTGAGGTTCACGATGAATGCAGGTGGCGGTGGGCGGTAAACAGAGGGCAGCAACGACTGCAGATAACTGCTGGCGGGCGGCGGCGGGTGGCTGGAGGCGGGTTACGACAACCGGCAGTGGGCGATAGATAACAAGCAGTGGGCGACGGGTGGCGCCATTAGGCGGCGATGATAGGTAACGCGGGCGGCGACCTCGGCGGGCGGCGACAACGTGCCTTTTTTCACGGCTTATTATAATGTGTTTAGAGACAGTCCTCTTTAAGTTGTTTTAAAAATAGTTAAAATATCTTTTTTCTGTTTTGTATATTTTAAAAATAGATGTTATTTCTGAAAATAAAAAAAAAAAACAGTAAAACAAACAATGTTTTTCTATTTGATTCGTCACAAGAAATTAATATTGATCCGAAACAGCCCCTAAGATTTAGTTTCTTAAGTGCCAAAGCAATGTAGTAGCTGCTTGATATGGTGCTTGATGTCGAGAAGCATAAATGTGGAACCTGTTGGTACTCAGGAAAGTAAGTACATGAAAAAGGTTAGGAAATTAAACATAAGAAGTGAATTCTCAAGCTATTTTTCCGAATCTTTAGCTTCTATACTGCTGAATCCTTAAAGTAGGTTTTGTTGGATGCTGAATCCCTAAAGCACTAAAGGAAGAACTATGCTAGCTAAGTTTTTAGCTACAGGAATTTTCATTGAACTCTTAAAAACCTTATTTTTGTTTAGCATATGGGAGTTATTTATAGAAATAGTCTAACATTTTAAAGTTCAAGTTATCCTTATGGGTTTATTCTATGATTCATCAACATTTCAATACAAATATGCATGTAGCATCCAACACACATTGGACACAAACACGCATGCGATACACCCGATAATTGTTGGACATGCCAATCGTGTTTCCAATTTAAAAATAAAAAAAAAGGCATGCGTGTCTTAAAATATTAACTTAAATTTTATAAATGATATCAAAACGCATAATAAAATATTTGATTTTGATGATTTATATTGTACCAAATAACTCATTTTAAATTTTTTATGCAATATTCTAAAAAACTATTTATAAGCATATTATTTTAATTCTTATAAAATTTTGATTACTAATTTTTTAAGGTACATAATATTTTTCAAATTTTTTACTTTTTATTTACATATTATTTTGATTTATGAATAATTTGATAATCATTTATATTTTGAGTATAGTGTAAAAATTTCCTTTGACTATTTATATGGAATCATTTTAGTCATAAAGTTTATAAAAGTGCCAAATCAGTTCCAATACTTTTTTAATGGAGGCTAAAGTGATCATTCTTTTGGACTATTTTAACGTATATTAAAAGATTTCGAGGACTATGTTGACGCTTTTATAGAATTCAGGATTAAAATAACCTCTTACGAAGAGTTAGGAAATCATTTTGGCACTTTTCTCTTTATAATTTTTTATTCTTGAATGTCATTTTTTTATTCTTATAATGTTGGGATCTTTTTTATTTTTTCATGTTTATTTAATTTATGCAATTAGTATATATTATTTTAAAATTATTATATATATATATATATATATATATATATATATATATGTTTGTATATGTATGTATGTATGTACACACACAACACGATGTCCATCATCGCTCTGCTATGGGTTTCTACGGCGACTTCTTGGCGGTTCGGGTTACCGCAGCTGTTCGTCGACTCATTGTCCTCGAATAGGAAGGGAGGGGGATCGTGTTGCTCCTTTCATCACCTCGTCGAGCCCAGCCTCTTGCTTGATCGCATTGTCTGCTGTTATCGGCGCCTCGTCGTATTCATGAAGGGAAGGGGAGCGTCGTAGTACGTTTGTGTTTTCCGTGCTTCGATGGATGCTCTCCCTCCTTTTTCGGCCGAACCCGACAAAGCCTCTTTCGCCCACGTGCTGGGTAACCATATGGTGGAGTTGGCTATTGTCTTCTTGTCGAGTTATGATTGATGTTGTGATTGTACAAATGACTGCCTCTTTATTAAGAAAGCATGTATGAATGGTGAGAAAGTAACTTTCTTTTTCTCTGATTTAGAAGTTTCGACTTTGGTTGAGAAATGCAAGTTTGCCCTCATTAGAAAATTTCAGTTGGGGCACCCCTTATTGGAAGTTATCAAAATGAGTTTTGAAGATCTCAATTTAGTAGAAAAGTGGAAAGTGAAACTTCTTGATGGGAGGCATGTGATGTTTCAGTTAACCATGAATGAAGACTATACTCGAATATTTTCTAGGAAATATCTTAATATTGTAGGAAAGTCTATGAAATTGCTGAAGCGGTCTCCTGATTTTTATCCAAATCATAAACATCCCACTGTAACAATTTGGTTTAATTTACGTGGTTTCAATTTGCATTTATTTAATCATCACGTTCTTTGCTCTATTGGGGCCATACTTGAGAATCTTATGAAACTAGATATACCCACCTTCAATCTAACCATGCCTTATGTTGCCAGAATACTTGTGTAAAGAGATCACTTTACCTGATATTACAAAAGTTTGGCTGGGCACAACACATAATGAATATTGACAATAAATTATCATGAAGTATAAACCTTTTTATTGTACCAATTGTAAGATGTTTGGACACACCTTTGACAAATGCCACAGGCTCCATCCTAACTTGAAATCTAAAGCTCGATTGCATAAGAATTTGTTTAACCCCATTGATCTGGATATATCTACTCCACCTGTGGAGGAAATTATCACAAGGCTGGAGTTAATGTATGGTTTACTTGGGAACTACTTTTTCACCTGTGGAGGAACCTTTGAGGCTTGCTTCCTTTGTCCTTGAGGGGGATTGCTCACTTAGGGTCTGTTTGACACAGTTGCAACTTCTCAGCTTTTCAGCTGCATCTGCGCTGTCTCCTCAGTATGCTGCTGCAGAGAATCTGACTGACTGTTTGGTGCAGCTGTGTGAAAACAACTTTGAGGCAACTGTTTCTGGAAAAATGACCATACTGCCCATGTTTGGTAAAACTGTTTAAAACAGAATTGTGACAACGACATATTTGTTCTGAAGCAGAATCACTTCAAAATTGTTCAAAAATTCTTTCTATTTCTTATATGAATTAATATTGGATTGAATGTCATTTCTTGTTAGAAACTAGGGGCATCAACTTCCTAATTAGAATGAAAATATTGTATTTCTGCACCCATAAAAGCAATATTATATATAATTCCTCTACTAGCGGTACAAAGAAGGGATGGAAAGGAACCCAAGCAATGATAAAACTAGAGAGTTGCCAACTTTGATTCGGCTAATACATAAATCAATGAATTGCATTATTTTCTAGTACTTTAGTTTCAAGCACATGCTATTCTATATTTTTGGCAATGTTTTTTTGTGTGGAGTGATTGCTAAGATTTCAAAGGCATACAACTAAATTAGAAATTTCATTTGAAGAAAAAATTTATTTCTGAAATTTCATTGGATTTCATGATAACATATGCAGAGAACTTGAGCTCTTCCTATTTAGTAACGCGCTCAAGTAAATAATTAAGGTTATCATTATGACCATCAAGCAAAAAAGTTGCTTTTGGAACCTTAAACATCAGAAAACCATAATACTGTGTCAACATCAGAAAACCATAATACTGTGTCAAAGAAGTCTATGAAACAAACGATAGAGAAAAAAGAAAGGACAAGAAACATATGCCTATTGTATGAACCAAGGAAAATGTATTCACATTTGATGGAAATAAAAATTGCATCCATAGAAGTGATTTGTTAAAACAATATAAATAAGGAAGCAAGTTAAATTTAAATGTTTTTGATCTCATCAAACAGCCAAAGGTGGAGAACTATCCAATTTTGTCCTTGATGTGTGCTGTATAATTTGAAGTAGTTCTTATTTTCATCATCGAAATTATGATTTTTATATAAGACAACAAAGGTTTGTGCCCATAAAGAGCAACAATGGAAGCCGTCAGGATGACTGCAGAGTTACTTGTAGGAAAGATTGCCGCTGGTTCCTTAGTCGCGCAACGCCAAGCAGCCTATGAGCTCCGTCTCCTTGCAAAAACTGAAATGGACAACTGTCGCATCATCGTGGAGGCTGGTGCCATCCTTCCTCGTTAGTCTACTTGTCTCCATGGAAGCCTAGACACAAGAAAACTCAGTGACCGTGCTGCTCAACCTCTCCCTCTTCCTCATCTGGTTCATCGTCTCGCGTTCTGTGAAACAGGGAGGCTTCGACGCCGAGGCTAGGGCAGGGAAAAGGGAGGGGTATTATTGACGAACGAGACGCAGAGTTCGTTCCGCGTCCAGCGTTCCGCTAGATTCGCATCCCGCCAAAAGCGGGATACCGAAACAAACAGGGAGATTTCGCGGCGCCCGAGTACGACGTTGTCTTGCCGCGATCCAAAACAGAACCTTATTATACCTCCTGTGGATCCTCAATTGGTGGTGGATGAGGAGACATTTGATACCTCACCTACTCCAAAACCTATCATTGATGTAACTGTTGACAATCTTGTGGTAGAGTGTCCAGCCCTAGGTGTGCTTCAGAATTCTACCCTAGG